TAACCCACAAATCTATTTCCGCATGGCGGGAAAACATGAAGTAACATATATTTATGGAATTACAGATTCAAAGATTGTCTAAGAATTATATAAATGTGGTCTAATTAGAATGATATATATAAAGGATGAAAAAATCTTCAAAGAATTACCAAAGCCAGAAATCGAGGATGTTGATACTTTTCATCAAGTTATAAAACATTGGAATATATACATTAAAATGTATCAGACTTATCTTGAGATAATATGAAATGTTGTATCTCTTATCAACTTAGAATTAGCAGTGATTCATACACTCCCAAGTATAAATCAACAGTCATTATTCCAGAGATCGACAGCTCAAGATTTATACCAGATCTGGATTGAAACTAAGAAGATAGATTCTACAAATATCTAGGTATATTACACCTTAGGAAAATTTTTTATTTACAGTCATTGCAAGCAACCCACAAAAAAAAATTCTCAAAGTTATGTATAAAAAATGTATTTCTACACTTAGTCAAAATAACACAGCCATGATCAGAGAAGTCAAGGAAGTATTTTGCAAAAAATTACAAAAAAAATAAGATAGACAGATTCCCACGTATAAGAAGTATGAAGTAAGCTTGAAGACAAGAGTAATGAAATTCAGAGGTAAAGCAAAATATCAATACGTACAACAAAGTGAATTATTATCAACATAGAATATTACGACAAAAGCAGATTCTCACTTACTCAACCAACCTGAAACTACTCATAAAGCAGGCCACCTCTTATCACCAAATAATATTCCTAGAATTATTCTGACAAAAGCAGATGCTCACTTGCTCAGCTTGCTTGGAAAGAGGTATCAATTATTTCTTCCATGTAATGCCAACAGTGATGATTAATGTATTCTTTTCTCATCTATTTAAGGCTCCCCCTCCTCTCTGGGGAAGGCCGAGCGAATTAGGAATTCTTCTTCTTCTTCTTCTTCTTCTCTTGTAATCTACATATGTGTGTTTGTCATTATAGCTAATTATCTTTTTCCTGCTCAATGTCTGTAATTTTGTCTTTTAAGTATTAATGAGTATTATGATATGTTTATTTGTTTAAAAACATGGTTAGTTCTCTATTGATTTTTTATTTATTCTATTTATGCATAGGGTAGGAAACGAACTAATGTTGTGCTTTAAATCCTTGAAGTAATTGCATAAGGTTATGGTCTGCAAGGATCTGTGTGGTCTTGTTGAGCCTTAACGTTTTCTAGAAAATCACAGAGAAGGTGAAAGATGAACCAGAGATTCTAAGGTCAAACCCTAGAATATAAAGATATCATAATAGGATAAAAATTTTTTAAACTTTCATGCGGAAGCATAATGAACCCTAATACTTTAAGATAATCTTTCAGAAAGAAGAGTCAGAAGAAGTTCTTAAACATGGAAAATGATTTTGAGGAATTTGATATAATATTATGATAATTAAAGAAAAATCGTATGAATCATATTAGAGATATTGAAGAATTACAATATAGATTAAAAAATAATCTAAATTTAGAAAATACTCCTGAACCAAAATCATTAAAAGTAGGAGAAACTTCAACTCCTTCTAGAGCTTACAAAATGGTATTAGAGCCAAGTAATCTGCAAAAAAACACTAATGATTTACGTACGCTACTTTGTCTTATGAATCTTTTATTAGCTTTTATGAACAACAAATAAAAGATAAGAAAGAATTAAAAAGACGTTTACTAATAGCAGAAGAAATTGATGTTGAATAAAAATTACCTCGAACAAGAATTCAATAGAATATGTGAACTACTCCAAATAAATTTAAAAAATAGGCAGTTAGAAGTATTCCAAGAGGAAAAAAATTTTCATATAAAATCTCCCTTAGGAAATTCAAATGAGTGGATTCTAATAAGTTATATGATATTAAAACAACAAGTTGAACTAGGACTCTATTCCGAAAATATATCTAATGAACTAGTTCATCTATGGAATTAAACCTAAACCAATTATAAAAAATTAAACTATTTAAAAATTTAATCCAGTCGAGATAAAAAAAAATTGCCAAATACAGAAAATACTTCTAACATATATGAATTATGAGTAAGATTAACTCAATATCAGGACGTACTAAACAACAATATAGCCACAACTGCTATTTTAGTTTAAAAAATACTACTAATCTAGAAATTCTAGGATGAACAAATACAAATAAATATAACTCTTTAGAAAATATACATGGAGTTATATGTATCAATGAAGTTATTTCAATAGATGAACATTCTCATTCAGAAAATGAGATAAAAGATTTAATTAATGCCTTAACTGAACATCAATTTATGGCTACACCTATTAGTTACGCATCTGTTGACACTCCTTCATCCAACCAACCGATGGGATTACCCTCTTCGTCAAATACTAACGAAGCTAGTACAAGCCAAAACACAAGTTCTTATATTTGTTATCTACCTCCTAGCATTAGACGTAATCCTACATTCAGAAATAGAACAAAATCTAGAAATGAAGACAACATACCTTAACCCATAAGTGGGCATGGTATTTATTTAAATATAGACTGCAATAAAAATATTAACAAAAAAATTGATAAATGAGTAATAGAAAATAGCTTAGCCATATATAATTTTAATTTAAAAGGATAAGACGTCTATGGACTTTTAGAAAATACACTTAGTTGAATTGCAAAAAAAATTGTTTTCAAGACTAAATAATAATAAAAAACAAGAAATAAGAAAAACTTTTTTTATCAGAAAGAAGCATATGAACGCCTGGAAAATGACCAATTATATATGGAGATTTCATAAAAAGTGAATTTTTAGGATACAAAATTAGATGCCACATCAAAATAGGAAAATGAAAGCATCAGACATATATAACAAAACAGAAGATAACAAAACTAAACATCTGCAACATCTGTTATTTAAATGAATATAGTTGCGAGTATCAAAAATATTTGTATGATATTCTAATTGACTAGAAAAAAATCACTGATGTTTGAACTCTTTGATGATAATGATATGTAAGTTGCTTTTCCATGCATCTTTGATAAGTTGGTGACATGATCTGTTGAATCAGTTCACGCTTAACAAAAGTTCAAGAGTGGGAAGCTGAAGTTGGTGGGCAACTTAGCTTCAATGAATTCTTTTTAAAATGCATTCAACAATTTCAACCTCCTCTTCTCAAATCATTTCTCAAAGTGGTCAGGGAAGGCAAGGAGTTCTTTTCTTCAAAATCTTAGCACAGACTCATCAAAATCTTGGTAGTTGTCATTGTTAATATATTGCAATTCACTTAGTACAAAATTTCTTCTTCTACCTGCTAAGTCAAAGCAGTCTTTGGGAACTTGGACTCTAAATATGCTTTTGGGATCTAGTCCAAGTCCTCTTGGGAAGTTTTAGAAAGCCTTTCTTCTAATTTAGTGACCTATCTAGTTGTAATGAAGGCCCAATTCCTCATATTTACTTAAGCTTTTGTGGTTGGTTCATTGAGCACCTCTTTTCAAGATCTTAAGGTATCTATTGTGATTCATTGCATACAACCATGAGTCATAACAAAACCTTTTTTCGATGTTGTCTCATGCATACAACTTTGTAGATGTTGGATATTAATTTATCCATTAGTCAAACCAAAACCTTATTTAGCATTGATCAAGACAAGTTTGAGAGAAGAGTGTAGAAGAAATAGATGAGCAATCGAGAGAAACCACCATAATGCTCAATAGTATAGCAATTTTTGGCTAGATTGCACAAAATTGTGAAAGCAAATTACATCCACTTTACACACCCAATGAGAATCAAGTATTGAGTGCTAGACGTAAGGTTGTACAATGTGTTGAATACAAGGTACAAAATGATGCCAATTGATTACTTGCTGTAAAATTTGAAAAAATAAATGTGTAGTCTGAAAAGCCGAACTAATATTTGGCTAGCTAGTTAAAAGGAAATCACCCAATTCCTCTATTGCAAGTTACCAAGTTGCTCCTAAGCTTGTGAAGCCATCAAACTAGCAAATTTGTTGTAATTCTGGCGAGTTCTCCAAGAACTTGGTTATCAAAGCAATGGGTGTAAGTGGATCAAGCTGACACAAGCACAGCTCGATAACTGGCTCGTGAACTGAGCTCGATGAGCTAACAGACTAAATTCTTGCTAGCCGCAACTCGACTCATTAGCTCGTGAGTCGGCTTCTTTAAAAAAATACATATTAACTTAAAATATACTCAAATTATATTATATTTGAAAACATTATTTTTATGGTATTAAAAATATTTTAAAAAATAATATTTTATATTTTAAATTATGTAATTACTTATTATTTCTCTCCTAATTACTCATTCTATTAGTTTTTTTTATTTTATTTTAACACTGACTTAACTTAATATTACTTTTTCTCTTTTATAGTAACAAGCCGGATAGTTAGTACGCTCAAACTCGTAGACTTAAGTTCAAGCTCGATCATAAATAAAAATTAATCAGGTTCAAACCGACAGTGGCTCGAGCTCAACTCGACTCGTTTACCCCCCTCTAGTTGAGGCCTTCTAGAACTCAATTGTGCGGTGAGGTTGCCCTGATATCGGCAAGTTGGTTTGTCCTCAAACCGGCTGGCAAATTTTTTTAACCAGACTCGTGAACTCTACCCGGACTCAACTGGAAAATTTGGCATGAGCTTGTCTTGGATGGACAAATCTTCGTACACCACCCAACCCCATTACAAATTTGGAAAAAAAAAAATTCTCTTTGTAACTTATCGCACTCAGAAAGGTAAAAAAACGTACTTTACGAAAAAAATCAGTCAATGTTCTCCTCGATTCAATTCAATTCAATTCAATTAACATTACTATTTTTTTATTAACTCTCATTCAATTCCTTCAATCAATCAAAAGCCAAAACATACCGTTACACGAAGGCACCTTTTATTGATTTGGAGATAGCTTACCTCCCTGTTTCCTATTTAATGGTGCTGACAAGCGCACATATTCTTTAAGCAGAAACAAAATGACCACAAAATAATACTTGGCAGTGATTTTCAAGGAAATCATTGATAAATTTATCCATAACAAATGCAGTTTACAGCTAAGTTGCCGTCAAGCTGAAAAAATAGAAACTACAACAAATTAGTACTCCGAGGAATGAGAAAGAAAAATTGAACTAACAATTGCCTTGCAGCACTTTTCTCTATTTTCATAAGGAGCTGTCAATTTACTGTTCTGAGCAGAACATGCTTCTTCCAGTACTAGCACCTATCAGCTCATCTTCTTTGCAGAAGCGTTCGCTTGACTAGTTTCATGTGGAATATCTGGAATTTTACATATATGCCACGCAATTGTTATGTATTTAAATATCTAATTTGGAAGTTGCAATTTTAGATGAAAGCAGTACCAACCTAGAAAGCATGGCAGATGAAGCATTCGCTTAAGGAACTGATCTGTCCACTTTTGCGGAAGTAGGAAGCCCGCTTAGAAGACTTGGCAACCTGCTGCATTTGGCTAGCAGTTGCAGCACTTCGCATCTCCTCTGCTTTCTTCTGTGCTGACTTTAGCTTCTTTAGTATTTTGTCCATGGAAGAAGATCTTCGCTTTTCAAGCTTCATCTAAAAAAAAAATCAAAATAATAAACTTGATAGAAACCAGAAAATTGTGCGCTTGTTGATTGGACAATTAGGATATTAAAAAGCACCTCTAATTTCCTTATTTCAGCCTCAGCTTTTGCTTTCTGTAAATTCTCCCACGCTATAATTTTGGCTTCCTCTCTTTTCACCCTATATATGATTTCACAGACAAACGAAGTTTATTTGTATTTCATGAAGCGTCAGTATATATATCAATACCATTTAAACCTGCGTCAGCAATTTAGTGGAAAGATATTTCTGCCTGAAACACATCAGGAAAAGATATATGTCAAGCTTACAAACAAATTAAAAATAAATATAATCATTGGTTCATGGGCACATTGTTTTGTCATTGCTGGCTCACCCATGGTTTAGAACAACCGCGGTTAACTATTACTGGATGAATGTGATGGCGAAAGAAGAGGATAACAAATAGATAAAGCACTAAATATTATGTGAATCAGTTAAAAAATAATAAAAAGAACTTAAATCAATATTCTTTCCTGCTTAATTTTAGCTGATGATTATCACATCGCATTACAAAAAATAAATATCACACAATAAATAAATTTACAACTTACAAGTGATATTGATTGCTTCTTCAGCATTTTACTAAGCTCGGAAAGTCACCTAGTGCCTCAGGCATCTTGTAAATATATTGTAGTGAAAGTGCCTGGCTTTTTATAACTCTGGAAGAAAACAATACTCTACCTCCTAGGAAGAGGAAATGGAGCCAATCCACAACTAAAATACCACACAAGCATAAAAACAAAAGGGGCGCATGAAAATATGCCTTTCAAAGCCTAAATATATTCAATATCACCGAAAAACAATCCCCAAATTTCTTGAAACTTAGTAAATAAGAAAATATCATGATATTTTTTAAAAATACCATAACCATGAAATCTAGATGATAAACAAAAGGCCTAAACAATACCAAAGATAACCACTCGGACACTCATCAAAGATGATATCATAAAAACTTCGATCAATTCTCTCCGTTTGTTATTTAGTTGTAATTGCTATTTAGGTTGACTCCGAGCTAGCTATGGAGTCAGGATCCAAACCAAGGACCATAGGCCCAACTCATATTAGACTCTTATTAGTTCTCCCAGGATGTCTGTCTCCACATGCAAACTGTAATTTCTACCTTAAGTATTTCTCTCATAACAATTTTCATGTCTCCTACAAATGTTCAAACTCATGTGTGAATAGGTTCATTAACATAATCGGATTCCGTTTTAAGTTTATATGTATAAACTTGATTGGTTTTTGAATTTTTTATCCATTCCTAACAAACCTTTTCTTCATATATTTAACAATTCAACAAATAAATTTTATAAAGTAGTCAAAATCTCACCCCTTCGATGATACGCTAAGTTACCCTAATAGCAGGCCCCACTCTTGAATAGCATATTGACACAACCAAAAGCTCTAATGCTAGATTGAGGCAGAATGTTTTCATCATATGTAAACTCAATGTGTTGAAAACCAAACAAAAAGAATGATGCAATAATAAATTAAATTTAAAAAAATACAGAAATTTGAAGCATGAAAAATTATCATACAAATGACTTTCTCACTAAAAAATATTAGAGAAGAAAATAGAAAAAAAAAATCATGAAGGTCAGAAAAAATAGAGACTTCTTGCCAATCGCCCTTGCAACAGACTCAAAAAAATCCCACATTCGATGGCAAACACAAGTTCAGAAAAACCATAATTTTTTTATTGATAAAAATTAAAATTTTACATACTCAGATTCCTAATTTACACTCCTAAAATTCCCCATCGCATGTTTCATTTGAAATAATGAGATCAGAAACCACTGATCGCACGATATAAGACTCAACAAATAAGTAAGAATTCAAATACATAAAAAATACACTAAATTAAAGTTGCCATTCTTATTAAAATAAAATCCACAAAATGCTTCATCCATTCGTATAACTAGCAAAAAATCGGGAAACAAAAACCAACTCAGCTAAGATAACATAAATCACTTCATGAAAGTCACGGGGAATTGAAATTGCTGACAATCCAAATAAATCCAATTATAAATTACACTTCGTAATTGATAGAGGAATGAAACTCTGTTGAGAATTTAACCTTATTTAGGGTCACACTGATAAAAAAAATTGAAGAAGTCTAGAGGTTTATTTGTAAAATATTGTAATACCTTATTTAAGTTCATGTTATCAATATTCGGATTAGGTTTTGAAAAATCTTTCGGTATCAAAGCTTAACCTAGTTGCCGTCACTTCTCTTCCTTCCTCTTTGTCCTCATGTAGCTGGACGGAGCGGCCATCTCAGGCTGCAAGTAGAGATAACAACTCGTGACTCAAGTTCTGACTGAAGAGACGGGTTCGCGACGAAGCGGCCACTTTAGGTCGCAACTAGAGCAGGGGGATCGGGCCTGAAGCTTCGCGATACAGTCGCGATGGAGGCCGCGAAGCTAATTGGGAAGGCATCGACGAGATCGCGGCGACGAACACGAGAGTCACGATTGGAGTTCTCTATGTGTGTGGCCGGATTTTGCTTTGAAACCAAAGGGGGCAATGGTTTCGACAATGTTCTGCAGCTAGATTTACGAGATGAGGAGGAAGAAACATCGGGGTAGGGTAGCGAGGAAGAGCAAAGCTTATTGTTGTTTTGGGATCCTCCTCCTACTGCGAAACTATGAACAAAAAAGACTAACGCGAAGGACTTCGAATCAACTAAAGGGTTTCTTTGAGCAGGAGAGGTACAACCTTGTATTTTTAAATGACAGGAGATAGAAATAATGTGGGAGGTAGAGGAGTGGAACTTTTGGGAAAGATAGATTATGAAGTTTTGAAGGTCCTGATCGGGCTAATACAGAGAGTTGACGCCTCGACGGGAGCCACTACCTCAACACGTGCTTCGCGCAGCTAGATCTCCCTCTTGTGAAGCTGAAGCTTGATGGACCGACCACATATCTGAGCTAGTCGTGTCAGGTCGAGGTTGTTCTAGTAGCGAAGAGACTAGAAGGATATCTGACTGGGACGAACCAAAGAGTGACAGTGCTGAGAGTGATAAGTGGAGAACCACACGCCTTAATCTACACCTGATTACTCAACTCAATTGTTCCTTCAATTGCATTATTAGTAGATGGCATTCAAAAGGTGAGGAACATTTGGGCAAAACTGAAGAGTATTTATGTTGGGACGAAGAACCATATGAGAGTGTTCCAAAATCAACATGAGATGAGCAGTAGTATAAGGTGATAAATTAATTCAGGAATACGCCATAAAATTGGAACGGCTATGGACAGAACTTTATCACTTTTCACCGATGTCGAGTTTTTGTGATCCGGAGTGCAAGAAATGGGAGATGAGGACTATGCAATTTCTAGCCAATCTGAAACAGGCATTTAATCAGAGTAGATCAGTCCTCATGGCGCATGTTAATATCCCTTCACTGGATGAGGCCATTGCTGCAATGATATAAATGGAGAGCCACATGAAGCTACACTGAGTCGAGTGGACTTCCAGATGCACGATCAGCATTGTCTATCTCGAACCCGAGTATAATATGTGCCCAAGGAGAGACACGAGTGTTACAACTGTGGTGAAGTCGGGCATTTGAGCAAAACTTGCCCTACGCCACCTAAGGAGAGAGAGACCGGTGGATGTGAATAGGGTGAAGGACGTAGTCGTGATGGTCGAAAAGGTGAAAAATGGGGCTACCAGGCAAATATGAACGTAGCAAGCACAGGAGGGAGAGACAGGGGTTGCTTTTACCAATGAGGATCGTGAGCATCTGGAGTTGTTGAAGAGGAAGCTGAAAGTAGCAGAAGAACTAGCTGAGAATGCTTCCAACCAGTCATCATCAAGAGGTAACATTGTCACCTATGCTCACTCTAACAAAGATACTTGTGTAATGCATCAGAATAGATGGTAAAAACCAAGTATACAATACTCTAATAAAGGTCAGATACATCATATGCTCTTGCCTCTATTTCAATCACAGGATCATCATAATAGATGGTAAACTCTGGTGCGTCTTGACAAGTGATGGAAACTGCCAAAGAGTTCTCTTCATATACTCCAATAGTTGTACCAAAGAACATTCAAGTTAATAATGGTAAGACACAACCTGTAGTTGGTAAGAGTACAGTTAGAGGTACCAACTATGATTTTGTTCAATGTTTTGCATACTCATTTTCCTGTCAACCTTTTATCTATTAGTGTCATTATCGTTCAACTAAAATATATTGTTTTAGTTGATATCCCTAAGATGATTTTTCAAGAGAAAGGAATGGGTCGGACACTTGGGACTGAAACTTGGCATAATAAACTCTGTTATTTGGATCTGGAGAGGATGGACTTGGTTTTGACATCTATGATAGAGAGTGATAGAGTAGAAGAAAATAGGATGAGTGTGGAGAATGTGTTGTTCTTATATCAAAGACAAATGAGACACTCTTGTTTTAGTTTATCAAGCTAGCTATATCCTTCTTTGTATGAAAAGGCAAATAAACAAAAATTTGTTTGTGATGCTTATGAGTTTGTCAAGATTACTATGAACTCTTATATCAGTTCTGAGAATAGGAGGTATAGCTTTTTGAATCGATTCATTTTGATGTTTGGGGACCCTGTTCTACAAATTCTATGAATGGTTATCGATAGTTTGACCTTTATTGATTGTTTATTTTCATGTTACTTAATTATATTTGATGAAAAATACGGGTGATGTGTTTGTTTGTTTTAAAGACTTCTACGAGTCAATCCAGACTGAATATGGTGCAGCAGTGAAGATATTGAAATCTGATAATGAGACAGAACATACCAACAAAAAACAATTGGGGAATACTTGTCAGCCCAAAGAATACAGCATCAAACCATATGTTCACACACACCTGCACAAAATGAAGTAGCAGAAAGAAAGAATAGAAACTTTCTAAAGGTTGTCTGAAGCTTGATGATCGCAATGAATGTCCCAAAGCACTTATGGGGGCAAGATGTTTTGACAACTGCTCAATTGATTAGCAGGATGACATTAAAGGTGTTGAATTGCATGTCTCTTTGTTAGATGTTGAATGGAGATAATGGCAGGATCCTCCAATTGAAGGTATTTGGATGTGTATGTTTTATAAATAAAAAAGAACCATTAATAGGAGAAATGGATCTGAGAGTTGTGAAATGTATGTTTGTGGGTTATTATGCCACCCATAAAGGGTGTGTCTGCTGGAGCCTGATAGAGAAGAGACTGATTGTGAGAATGGATGTGTCATTTAGAGAATTGGAACTATACTATATGTCAGATGTGATCTAACCTTTCGGGGACTCGCCAAATACTAAAGATATGAGGCAAGGTGGGGTGCGTAGCAATAATGAGAGAGTAGGACACGAGGGAGCAATGCCTTATCCCGTAACATAGAAGAAATCAATTGAGGAACCGAAAAAACAAGAGAGAACTTAGAGGTGGTGAGATTCATGTTGAATGTGAGCTAAGGGTGTACGCACGACAAAAGGAAGCAAAATAAAGAAATAGTGTCTACAGTGATACTTGTGCCAGCTAGTCCCTTGTTCCGATCTTTCTCGACTCTTGAGACTTCTACACCATCCCTCCAACTCTGAAATCCCAGGAGAAATGATTCCTCATTCTTCTCCTAACCCAACAATTTTAAGAACGATCTCTCGCAACAATGTGGGACTTCCTCCTGATTATTTTGGGTGAGAACATGACATTGCTAACTTTCTTTCATAATCTAACATATCCCCATTACATGAGCATTCATTGCATCTTTGGATATTATTTCTATATCAGGTGCTGGAAAGTTGCTAAGGAGAATCCCAAGTGGAATGCATGAAGAGCTTAGGGCACTCGGTAAAAATCAGACATGGGAGATAGTGCCACTACCAGCCAAGAAAACGATAGTTGAGTGTAAATGGATCTTCACAGTGAAACAAACTCCATAAGAAAAGTTAGAGCGGTATAAGACACGACTGACGACGAAAGAGTATAGTCAAACATTTTACATTGCTTATGATAAAACATTTATACCAGTAACAAAGATGATCACCGTAAGTACACTTATTTCTCTTGTAGTAATTGTGGGTAGAGGTAACATCAACTTAATGTGAAGAATGCATTTCTTCATGGTGAGTTATTTGAGAAGGTATATACGTAAATACTACCAAGATTCGGTATAATCCAAACAGTGGGCAAGGTGTGTAGGCTCAATAATGCTTAAAGCAGTCTCCTCGAGTATGGTTTGACAAGTTTAGAAAGATTATGGTGAGCATGGGATATCAGTAGATCAATACAGACCATACAACATTCTTTCGACAACATGAAGGTCACTGCTATACTTGTTGTATATGTTGAGGACATCATTATCAACGGTGATGATGAGAAAGAGTATCCAACTAAAAGCAAGATTGGACGATGAATTTGAGGTGAAGGATCTTGGACTACTCAGATACTTTCTTGGGATTGAAATGACCCGTGAACCTGAGGAGATGGTCTTGTCCCAGAGAAATTTTGCACTAGATCTCCTCACGGAAACAGATATGATGGGATGCAAACCTACAATATCTACAATTAACCAGAAAGTCAAGATGGGTGCAAAAACAATGGAACCGATTTATCGTGAGAGGTACTAAGGATTGGTGGATCGTGTGATCTACCTCTGTCACACTCAACCCGACATCTCTTTTGTAGTGAGCATGGTGAGTCGTTACATGCATGATCCAAGGAATGGGCTATATGTAGGCAGTGTATCAGATTCTGATGTATCTGAAAAGTTTACTCGGGAAGGAGTTGAACTTCAGATTAAATGGACATGTAGACATTGAGGGCTTTTGTGATGCTGACTAGACAAGTTGTGCAGATGACAGAAGATCCGCCTCAGGATACTGCATATTCATAGGAGACAACTTGTTCTCTTGGAAGAACAAGAAACAATCTTTAGTAACGAGGTCAACAGCAAAGGCAGAGTATAGGGTCATGGACTTAAGAGTTGTCGAGAAGATGTGGCTGGGAGCCTTATTGGTCGAGCTCAAGGTGGACCAAGGAACTCAAATGAAGTTGTGGTGCGACAACAAGTCTACAATCAACATTGCCAACAACTCGGTGCAACACGTAGAACTAAACATGTGGAGACTGATAGATTCTTCATCAAGAAAAAGCTAACTAACAGGCTACTGGAGTTAAGTCATGTAGCCACTAAACGGCAAGTGATTGAATGCCTTACAAAAAGACTTAGTTCATTAGATTTGTCTAGGTTATGTGACAAGATGGGCTTAATGGATTTCTTTTGCCCATCTGAGAGGAAGTGTTGACGATTAGAGCTAATTTAGAGCCCTATTGATAAAAGATAATATTGAAGGAACCTAGGATTTTATTTGAAAAATTTAGTAATACCTTATTTAAGTCCATGTTATGAATATACAAATTAGGTTTTGAACAATCTTTCAACAAACTTTTGTAGAGAATCGACTTTCCATTTAATCCAAAAAACTCAACTAATAGATCTAATCCATAAAACTCCAACAGTAGCATTGGCAACTCCATAATACAAAACTTGAGCAGAACCAAATCAGAGGTTAACCAAATAAAATCTATAAATCAATAAAATCAAAATAACATATAACACATCCAATTCACAAAGTCACCAGAGACATGCTCTAAAATAAACAAACTAAATTTTGAACTAAAAAATTCAATGAAATAGGAAAAAATAATTTTGAACTAAGTAAATCAAAGAAACAAGGAAAAAAAATATTGAGATCATTTGTTTTCTCAATGCATTTGATGAGTACAAACTCCCAAATCTTCACTATGTTCGAATAATATACTTTCTCAATGGACTATCATACTATTCTTTTTCCAATTTAATTGGATGCCTTGTTAACAAAGTTAGCATGGAAGATCAGACCAGCCCCCCATCCACCCACTGCCCTTTCCCGCCCCTTCCTAATAATACCGAAATATACGAAAACAAATCCAACAATTTAGCCATATTACTGAATAAGTTATAAACAGCATTTTATAATACTAGTGTTGAAGTCATAACTCACTTTGAAAAACTTCTAGGTGTCTCTGAAATTTTCCAACCAGAAGGCTTAGCCTCAACTGTTTTTCTTTTCCATTCCATCAAATTTGTTAAACGCTTTTCAGAACCACATCCAATTTGTTTCTTTGTCCATCTTGTCACCGTCACCTGATCATCAACTTGAACATCCCTAACCTCCAGCTTTGGAAAATGGCTCTCCAGCTCTTCTATGCCATTCACCAATAAAGGAGAGGGCAAGAATGAAGACTCATGCTTGGGAGAAGATTGATTGCTCCCCTCGGGGCTCATCTGTGTTGCCACATCCTTCCTCAAAACTATTGTAGAAGTTGATTTGGTCCCCTTCTTGGTGCATTCAACATTTTCATCTAAATAAAATTAGCAAATGATAAAATATTCAGAGGTGAGTGAACTTGCTATAATCTAACATCAACGGATTAAAAAACCATGCATGTGCTATATACAAATAATGGAATGTCTAACTATTCAGCAGGCAAGAGGATACCCATTGACAAGAAAGAAATGTCATGTAGAACTGATTTCTCACAATATGAGGCTTTGCATTTATAAGCAAACACAAATTTCTACACAAGCATTGTTCTGCCACTACATCTAACAACATTCTACTCTTCATTTTCCGTGATGATCATGTTATGAAAAGTATTAAACCTAATGGTTGTAAATTAATGATTATCTATTAGGAAATGTGTTTATTAGTTAGTAATATTAAATATGCTAATATGAGGAGATCTAATTATATAATATTTTCTATATTATAAAAATTAATTAGAAGATAACTAATTACATAATATTTCCAATATTTGAATTATTCCTAATGTGTATGCTCTAATCATATCTATACAAGGAATTATAGAAATCTGGAGTGTGTGTTGAGTTAAACCCCTAATTAAGCCCATTTTTCCTTTTTCACCACCTATATCTCCGCATGGGCACTGACAGATTTGCGCGGAACAACGTAAATCGTAATGTGTTTGCTTATTTGTTTGTTGTATGAATTTATTTTATGCATTGTTTTGCACAATAATTGGTATCAAAGTCGAATTAGCGGTACCGGCGACGGAGGTTTGAGATTCTGGTGAAGTCACAAACGCAAGACAAAGATATCTAAATAAATTGGGCTACGAGATCTATTTGAGCCATGAATAATAATAAGTCACCAAGTACTTCAACCTGTACTACAACGGTCAAAAAGGTGTTGATTCATCAGGTGATAATGCATCTCATCAAGATCGAGATGACAAAAATTAACAACAGAAAAAAAAACTTTGGCATGTGGCGATGAGAGGTGATTGATGCATTCTACTCTTTGAATTTGAAGGAAATTCTTGATAGCGGTAAACATCCTGGAGATATGTAAATAATGAATTTGGTTGAAGATTAACTGAAGTGTTTGTGGCTTGATGCAAAATTGATTGTCTCAGAAAATCAAATATGACTGTTAATGGAGACTTCCGTAGTAAAACTGTGGAGGGCATTGTAGATTAAATATCTTACGAATAGCGTGAAAGTCATCTCTTGGCAGTCTTTCCTAAAGGTAATGTAACCTTGGAGTTGTAGATCCAAGGACTGGAATTGCTATAGTGGGTGGTTAAGAATGTGTGGAAGGCCTCTAGGTGAGAGAAAACTTTATGAGGAATTTAAGAGAAGTGAAGTGGGCAAGCCTAGGGCATAGGTCAAACTAGCCCTAGGATGTACCCTTAAAAGTTTTAACTTAAGGTTATGTCATGGAGAAGGGCTTAGAACGTGGAGTCCTCTTGAAAATTATAGGAGAAAGTTAGGAGATATAATATATAGTTTTTGGAAGGGATTCAATAAGTTTAAGAGTGTTTAATAGAAGATACACCAATACTAAGCCAAGATGCCTAGTTTGGGCTGAGTTTGGCTTCTCTTGAAATATGCAATAAGGAGATGAGTCTAACTTTATCTTTGATGATTGGAAAGACTTGGAAGATTTAATCTGATAGGAGGTTTTGTTAAGATTTAATCTGAAATTTTTGGATGAGATCTAAAGATTTTGGAGAGTGGTGGAAAGAGGAGAACAAAACTAGGTCAAGGGTGCCCTAGTTTTGACCGACAGTTTGCAAGAGATCTAGAATTTTTTTTCATGCTATAGGTGGGAAAATTTGAAAGAGTTTAACTACCTTGAAGGAGAAGTGGGAGCAATGGGGAACAAGTTTACAAAGAGATGAGAATATCTAGGTTTATCACCCAAAAAAAAAGCCCAAAGAGATCGGCCGCCAAGCACACAACAGAGAAGAGTTCAACCCCAAGCACAAAATCCTAGAGATTCCTATGTCTATATTTTTCTAAATATCAAAAGCCAAATTTCATCATGCAAAGCAAACAATTACAGCAAGACAACAATTCCTAAAAAAAAATTTAAAGGAAGGGTAACTTTAAAGAAAAGAGTGAGGATGAGTGCGGTCACTCCAACATTGACTTCAATCAAGGAGCGACCACCCCACACCTACCAAATTATATATATAAAAAAAAAATCAAATAAGAAAAGAGGAAATGGTTAATAAAAATCCTTCCACATGAAGGAAAATATTTAAATTTTAGAATTTAAAATTCAACTATTAAAATTTAACATATGAATTTTAAATTTAAATCATGAATACAGGATCAAACTTTCCAAAAAAGGACTTCCAAAATATAAGCTTCTCAGCTTTTTTTGTTGGATTAACAACTCTTGACCCTTGACATTGATCTTATGATGGCGTTATCATTGCACTTGTCCACATCTTGAGCTCTTTAACATACTCTGGCGTCGGGCTATAATAACTCTCTACTTGATATTATGCATTAAGACTGGAAACGAATCAATAAATTGATAAGCTGCTCGTAGCTCAACTAGATAAGAACTCGTTCACGTTCAACTAACTGAATAAATTTGAATATTTTTATAAATATTTTGATTGTTAATTGAACAAGCTTTAACAACTCCGTGATCGATTTATTTATATTCGCGAATAATATCATTTAAAGCTTTCAAACAAGATCAGTAAGAAGCCCAATAAACAATTTCATTTGAAGTTTAAGGATAACCTTGATTTAATGCTTATGAATAAAATTTCTTAAATCTTAATTTAAAAATTGTGAATAAACAAGATTAAACCTCAATTCAAAACTCAAATATATTAAATTAAATTAAATTAAAATTTTAATTCATACATAAACAAGCCAAAGACTGGTTTATTTTATTTTTCAATTATTTTGTAGATTTGACTACTTAATTTAGTTATTCACTTAATAGCTCCTCATTCATTTAAAAACATATTTATTTTTTAAATTCAAGACGTAATTCATTTATAAGCTATAAAAAACTCTTTTGATTAGAAAATAAATAGCTAAATTATACTACTAATTAGTTTAAGTCTCATTTGGTTAAGAAAGTAAATAACGTGGAGGTATTAATTTTTAATTTGCTCAATAAAGGTCGTTTGGATTGAAATTAAGTAGCTCGATAATAATACTCATTAATCAACTTGATAATGACTCGAATATCATCATATGAAAAAAACATAAACCAAACTAAAACAATGATAATGATGAATGAACTAAGCTTGATTTGAGCTCAAACTCAAATTTTATAAACAAGCTCAAGCAATAGAGCCCCAAAAGCTCAATTTGAGCTTGAGTTGTGCTAGGGCTTAAATTTATAAACAAGCTCATGCTTGAACATAGCCCAGCTCAATACGGTCCTGTTCATTTGCAGCCTTATTATGTGGACTAAATGAACATCTAATTATTTCATATATATGCAAGCTGAGTTTGAGCTAGCTTGCCTGTGCTTGAGCTCAACTCATTCTATATTTGCTTTATTTGAGCTCAAGATCATGTTCAACTATATCCAAAAAAAGTATATTTACTTTTTGTTCATTTTAGGCTCGAATGGCTTATCTTTGGCTAACACAAAAATAATTTTTAGAGAAATGTGTGTGTGATAGTTGTTTATGTTTAGTTTATTAAGAAAATGAGCTCCAAATAATTGTCTATGCTTAGCTAACCTATTTAACAATTAAATTGAACACGAGTTCATGTAAAATTAACGTATTTTAACCCTATATTTAAAAATTTGACTAACTTTTAAAGGTGATAAATTGATTGAATAGATTGAAGCTTAATAGAAAGAAAAACTAGTTACTCAAAGAAAAATAGAAACAACAATTAAAAACACTAGCATACAGTAATTTTTCTCATTGATGATCTATAAATGATCTCAGAGGACTGTATTATGTATATTTATTATTATTGACATCAATTGCCTATAACGAATGCTTATAGTCTGTTAGCTACCTATGTTAATCACATAGTGTGTTCTCCATTGAAGTGTAAATACATTATGGTAACATTTAAGTATTTTAGAAAAGTCAAGCATTGTTCTAACTACATCCAACAAAATTATATTCTTCCTAAATGGTAGAACCGAAGCATCAAAGATGTCCATTTTTTTACCGCCTACTCATGAAAGGTATAATGTTCAACTTTCAAAGATGGAAACTACAAAAATACATAGATGAGAGAGTAACAAACTACTCAAGGCTAACTTTCAAGATAAAAGAAAAAAAACAGTCATTTTCTTAAAATGGTGCCATTGCAATAAAAAAAAATTCATGTAATTATAAGAAGAAGTTAAAATTATTATCATCATTATCCTTATCACAGCAATTTGGTCAACATTTCGAATAACAGGTATGAAATCATAGATCATTCAAAAAAACATGTATAGAAATTACTAAAATCAATGGCTCACAGGTGAAGCAAATCAATCATTCTATTACAATCTTGTTGATTATAATTATGGACAAAAAATATTGTGGAAATAAGGAAAAATTAGAAACAAAGATATTACTCTGAGCGTTTGATAAGGATGGAGCTGATTCAAGCAAATTTTCAAAGCACCCATGAAGGCTTGCAGATCTCAATATATAAGGTTCAGCATTTGCAGAAGATGACCTTGCACTTTCTCCGCTGCCAATGCCACATTTTCTGTTGTCAGCAAAATCACGCTCTGCAATCAGAACTCCAGCTGAAAAGGGGGAGCTACCAGTAAAGCTCCCAACCCTTCCACTATCAAAGCATGGAGCAATTGGTGATGCTGGTGAGTATCCAGGAGGTCCAAGTGGGCCACTTTTTGACTTTGGACGTCTATGATGAGAGAAAGGGTGAGAAGACCGCACAACCCCATCGGCGGAAACAGGGCTAAATATCCACTTCTCTGCATCTTCCCATTTTGAAGGCAAGATGCGGCCATTGTTGAATGGAAGATAAGATCCGGCACCCATGTACCTCCTACTGCTATTAGCTGGCAATGGCACTCTTTCTGAACTCCAACCCTTTAGGTACCCGGTTGTTTCGGTTCCGTGCCGGTAATTAGGCGTTCCAGGACTAGGGAATGCTTCCGATCTGCTGAGAGAGGAGGTGGCAGAGCTCTTCTTCATGGATCCCATGCCACCCGCCAAAAACCGAGGGGACAAGAAAGCCACATCAGTGCCAGGGGTGTTAAGGTCAAGAGAAACAGGCCTCTGCCTTCGAGTCTTCCTTCTCTGAAATGGAAGGGCTTCAGAATTATGACGCCAGATATAGTAATAATAAACAGGTGGTGGGAGTCCAAACCTCGGCGCAAATCAGCGATTTGGACGAGGAAAAGAGGGGCTTAGAATAGCTTCTACCTCTGAAGGCGTGAGAGAAGGAATTCTCTATTGTGTTCGGTGCTCTGCACCCCTCCCTCTCAGGCCTTCCTGCATTTTCTTCTCCTTTCTCATCTGAAGCTTGCTCTACTTCCTCCCCCAGCCCTGGGAGATTTTGAAAAGATGAGCTTGTTAAACGTAGCCTTTAAAGAACAGACATGACTGGCAGAGAAAAGACCTAAACAAGACTAATGGTTCAAGGCTAGTTAGTACCTACTGAAATACTGTGTGGCGAGGAAAGAATGGCGCTTTTTTTCTCCGGATCTGGATCTGGGTCAGTGCCACCGGAACAGTGCTCGCGTACTGCCAAATTCTGTAACAATCAAAGGAAAAGTAAGCATTTCATATCCTGAAGATGCCAACGAAAACAGCAAAGCAATCGTACAGGTGAAGCGGTAAGAATTAGCAAAAAGCATGCATGCCTCCCTCCAAACCTCCCTTTTTTTTTATTTGATACATTTGATATATGACAAATAAGCTCTTCAGTCGTTGAACAAAAGGGGGAAAAAAACATTTTATGTAGGACATCATTCTTCTTACGTTGTTTTCCAGTTTATGTTTTTATCCAAGTGCTTTAGTGTCTTTTTTAAATCATATCCTAATAGTGCAACCAAAACATTTATATATATATATATATATATATATATTCTGCACCGTCTCCTACCTCACTCTTTCGTCTAATGTCTTTATTTGATGAAGTCATACTGTACATTATTAGTCAAGGATCGGCTGCCTTTTAACTTTATTACAGAAGGAAACTCTAAAACCATCAGATCAACTCACCGGTGGAAAAATTCATTTTTAATTGAAGCTTCCCTTTCACACTAGATAAAAAGAGAGGCACAAGAGCAAGAATGAGAAAGAGTGAGCTCTGATCGTACAATGCAGAGATACGAAAAGAGCGAATCGTTCTCCGATCCAAAGGAGCAGCGCCCAGCAACGCTTCGGGAGATGGAGGAGAGGTGGCTGTCGCTGAATAAATGAGCGATGGTTGAGCCACTGCCGCTGCTATTGCAGGTTCGACGATCAGACGAGTAAGCGATGACAGAGTCAGGACCATCCGCCGAAGTTCGTCTTCTCTGACTGTCAGATTTCAGATGCATCGCATTCCTTCCCCTTTGGTCTCCAGCTTCCCCCCCTCGCACAACCTGCATCGGGCATTCTGGACTTCAATGCATTTCCTCCAGAGAGAGGGGACCGGTAATAGTAGTAGGATTGGGAATATTTGTATGGTGATCGGAGGGTGCAGCCTAGCTTAGCCGGGCTGAATCCTGTTTTTGTGCTTAAGCTGCATTTATTAATTGGATGTGTTTCAAGTTCTAGGCTATGCTGCGGGACACTTCCAAAAATATAACAATGGAACAACTCATTAAGGGTTCTTTTGGGGCAGCTGCAATTTATCCAGCTTATTCAGTTTATCAGAATAAGTTGGCTAGCTATTTGGTTTGTGCGTTTGTAAAACAGCTAATTTGCAACTGTTTTTGAATAAATAACAATTTTGCCTCTGGTCCAAGTTAAATTTGAAGCAAGTTTAAATCTTATGCCACCCCCATTTTTTCGTAAGTCTCGAATTTACAAATTCCGATAATTTGGAGGATTGGTTGCAAGCAGAATGTAACTTATATATGATTCAATAAATCTTGTAAATCATGATTTAGTAAATCATGGAGTGTTGGATCATGAAAACTACTAGGTATTATTGAGATGAAAACTACTTGGTATTATATAACACCCCCAATATTTACTAAACAAATCTATTTGAGTTTAATCTTGCTTGCAGCAAAACAGTTGCTAAAATTATTGTTCTTAGATCTGAGAAAAATCCACCATGTTAGACATTTTGCTTTAACCATCTCTCAAGTACTCTCAATTTATTGGAAATTTAGCAAAGTTTCGCCCAGATTCTCATCCTTATCGCCATAAGAAAATTTGAGCTCGTCCTAACAAACTATATGCAAAATAATGCCCATATGATAATAAGAAGTAAATATCAGAGGTAGTTGAAGATCGAAATTAGGAAAAAATGGAGAACAGATTGTGTCCTCTCTGAACCTGTCTCGGTGCCTACTAAACCCTCGCTCATCAGTTATAAAACTGCACCCCACTGCAGGAAACTCACGGATAAAGATACGAAGACAAATATAGATGAAGAATGAAAGCACTGGAGCATAAGGAGCAGCGAATACCAAAACCTTACCTCCATTATAACTTCAGCGTGATGATCTACTTGGGATCTTCTCAATCTTCTGGTTCATTAGCAAATTGAAACCCTTTCTTCTCCTTCAAGAAATTGAGCTGAAGGCAAGCTAAACCGGCTCGTGGGGACTTCAATCAAGCTGTGGACAACGGAGGGTGGATTGGACGAGAAGGTTTCGAGTGCGGATGATGGAGGGTATAAATTCGATCTAGTTGGGCATGACATCGAGCGAGGGAGTGGAGAGGAGAAGGGCAAGAGCGGAGAAAAGAAGGGCACCGAAGGAATAATTTTCGAACGCCAAATAAAAAATGTAGGTCAGGGGTGGTTGTCGTGGCTCGAGTTTATTAAGAAATCAAATAAGTTGTTTTCAAAATACAATCTGAAGGTGTTTATCAAACAGAATGGTGGCGTTTTGAAAACGCTACCGCACTTATAAGCTGCCCTAAATGGGCCCTAACACGCCTAACTTTTGTATGCTGTCAAACATGAGCTCAATCAATTTAAAAAAAAAAAAAGTCTGACAAGTAGAAAAATATAAGTATTCATACAACTCTAATTATATCTCATAGTCAACGCTACATCTTTTCTCATCATATCAAAGCTTTCTATAGCATTCATCAAAATTGAGCATCAAAAGTGAATCTAATATTTGTTGCAGCCGAGCATCAGTAGTTTTCTCTTTTAATTGTTGAAGTCAAATATAAGAGGTTCATCCTGCATTCGTCGAAGCCGAGCATTGTAATTTTCTTTTGCTCATCGAAGTTGAATATACAATTACTAAAACGGAATTTATAACATCCTTTTTCACAACCTAAGCAGGAGTCCAACCTATTTGATGAAGTCAATCCAATTATCCCTCAAACTTTGCTGCACTTGTACTGAATTTTATATTCGTTAAAGCAAGCAGTCGAAGCTATCACAATTTTTTAATTGAAAAATTATATTTTTTTACTTTAATTATTTAATAGCAATACATTTATAGGTATTCTAATTCTAAAAGCTAAATTTTAACTTAATTAAATAAGGTGCAATCGTATGATATTTTAATTTTTAGTATATAAGTTGGAGATATTATTTTGAAACATATCATATGTTATTTTCCAAAATAAAATTTTACGAGTAATATGCCATCAATAAATTTTCATCATCTGACATGAATCTCGAGATAGTTTTTTTAGTAAGAAACATTCAAAATTCAATTAAAAAGCATCTAGAACTTTATTTTTAGCAAACTTTTGGTCAAACTGACTGGCTAGAGAGACGGACCGAATGGTACCAAAATCGGTCCAATTCGAGTCAAATTCAGCCCAAAACAAGCCATTAAACTCTTTTTGAACATTTTTATTACATAATTGGAATGTCAAATGAGATATAAATCTAATATACTTATAGTCAAATCAAGTATCTCGGCGAGATGAATCCAACAAGCCTATGATCACTCAATTCTAACACCATTAAAGCACTTAAATGTCTTCAAAACTCCATTTGATCGAGAAAACCTCCTCATATTGTTTGATCAAAGAAGTCTGGATTTCTTCGTTTTCTTACCATCTGTAACAATATAAATAGAGTCCTACCTCTCTTTTGATAGCAGACCTATACTAGGAGCCAGAAGAAGAGGAGTTAAAGCTCAGCATAATTTCTACACCGCATATTCGTCAAATACCTCTCACTCTAGCAACCACTTCCGCTAAATATTGCAAACGCTGTCGTATCTTACTGCCATTGTCGAACAGTTCTATCCAACTTCGATTAACACCTTTGGCTAACTTAGACACTATCAGCCAGCCACAGTTAACCTCCATTAGTTACCACTTAATCCTTGCAGTAAAGTCCCTTGTGAAGTCCCAACATACAATGCAGATTCACATCCTACATTATAAAGTAATGAGGGGATTTGCATGACAACATACTCGAAATATGGTGCAATGACACTTAATAGAGCACCCCACATATGAAGCAATGACATCTCTTGAAGATTTTATAACAACACACATTACATGCACTGTAACGAGGCCTTCCAAATACAATGTATCATCAAATCCCCGAATAAGGCATAATGATGCACTCCATTGAATATGTAATAACACACCCCATAAAAAGTGCAACAACGCTTCTCGATGATGTTGAAACAATGCAACCCACATGCAATGTGCAACGTCTCACGAAGAAAGTGTAATAACACACCCCAAATACGTGCAACAACACACTCAATGACAGTGTAACAATGCACCCCGTGTATGAAAAAAGGATGCTTCTCTAAGAAGATGCAATAATGCACCTCAAATATGGTACAACAACATGTCTTGATGATTGTGTAACAATGCACCCATATATAGTGCGATGATACCTCCCAACGATGGCATTAAAATGCACCCATAATATGGTGCAATGACTCGCTCTAACGATGATGTAACAATGTACCTCATCTAATGTGCAAGGACATCTTCCGAAGACGGCGTAACAATGCGCCCTGAAAACGATGTAACAATGTACCTCAAAGGTGGTGAATTTCATTGAACTCTAAAATCTCCCTCCTTACAGCTCTTGACTCCAACCCTTATGACCTATAGATGTCAAATCAGCTCGCCGTTGTGTGATACCGTAATTTGATGTACTTGCTTTCTGTATATCTTCTTTAATTTTAGTCCCCGACAACAGTACCAAAAACTTGATATCACAATTTGATGTACTTTGTGTATATCTTCTTTAATTTCAATCCTTGGAAAAAGTGCAGAAAACTTGATCTCCTTTCCGTGTTGATAATATAATTTTATGTTTTTATAGCGACAACTCCTAGTGACGTAGGTACTTCATGCAGTAGTAATCAAGTTAGGAGAAGGATTTGATTACATTGATGTCAAGCTTATTAATTCATTATTTTTGTCATTAAACTTGATACCATCTAGTTTGTTGAGCCTGTTATGAAGTTCAAATTTATGTGTAATGAGGAATTTCTCTCTTTAAAAAGGGCGTTAGTTGAGAAAAAGTCAAAAGTTGTTTTTAAGCCCGCTGTCAGAACTATTATTATTTCTACTGCTATTGAAATTATTCTTGTTGTTGCTATCAAAGTTATTGTTGTTACCTCTATTAAATTTATTGTTAGCATGCCTGCTACTACCACTGTCCTGATAAAAGTGAAGGGGGAAATATTTATTGACCTCATTTTTGGTCAACTAACTCATGTTTGGCTCAACACACATTCATAGACTCTCTTTGGACTACTATGTTAACACTTTGTTCCAACGTAGGGACCCTCGGATCATGGGTAGCCACGCCGAGAAGCCTATGGGCTTGGTCATGCCCTATGGGTGTTGTCATGCCCACTTTGGGTGCGACCATGCCAGAATGTTTCTCGGGGTGTGACCACGTCAAAATATTTCTCGTTGTGGTCACACTTAGTTTGGGCGTGACCATTCCGAATGTTTCTCAATGTGATCATGCTTGATGCTGACATGACTACACCATCAAGCCACGTCAGTGATCCGTGGTCTTTATCCATGGATCCAATGATCAATCATCGCGTTGCATCATTGGCGGCGATCCGTGGCACCTCCAATCGCTGGAATAATCGTGGATGTCGACTCACCACCCAATCTACAGCCATGGAGGCCTCAACTTCAAGTTGAGTCACTACTTCTTAACCTATAAATAGGCGCCATTTTGATAGATAGAGTGACTCAAACTCTTCAATCTCTAGTGTAGAGAAGTGGAAGAAGAAGAGCCTCCCACTTTGGTCAACTACTATAGCCTCTCCTCTGATAAGCTCTTTCCCCTTTGATGTTTTTACTTAGTGTTGACCTAACTTTTGGTTGAGGTTTAGTTTTCCCTCTTTAGTAGCCATGGGTCTAGCCATAGGATTTTCCTGATGACTATTCTTAGAAAACTATAAAAGGAACCCTCAGCTTTAGAAACTCTAAACTTTTCTGTGCTCAACTCAACTTGAAGTTTCATATACTCCATATACTCGTCCTAACCTCTAGCACTTAGTAGGTGGGGCCACTATAGAGGAAGCTTAAGGGGAGTATCCATAGGGCTGCTTGGCATTAAAGTTGACCCTAGGTGTTCGTCTGGAACTAGTTCACTCAATTGCATTCACTTGCACTCACTTCACTCACAACCCTAAAACCC